ACTATAACAAGCACAAAATGATTACAAGGTCGGTCCCAGGGACCAAGCCCATGCTGACAGAGTTAATGAAATTAACATTATAATGTATGTTATAATTTGAATTTTCATGTTATCCAAGTTTTGATAACTTTGTTTCAAACGAAACCTTTAAAAAAATACTTAAACTGTAGTTTTCGCATCATGTGATCCATGAGCTATGAAGAATCTCGACTTCAGCAGCATTTCACTCTTAGCCACATAAACTGGAACAGTACATGAGTATTTAGTCCCTAAGTACGTGTGTTTTACCTATTTGACACATGATATCTAAAGTTTGTAGCTGTTTCATCTGGGAAACAGATATAAACTTTCCAACACTGACATGTGCTATGCCCACCTTCTATACTTTGCCTTGAGATCTACATCGTACATGTAGTTAGTTGACAAAGGTGTATATAGTCAATAAAAAGAGCACAGTTTACACTAAACTCCACCAACAGTTAACTTGAAATTGGCATGCAGTTTTTGTATTGACATAGATGTAACTACTGTTAGTATTGTTTTCTGCTTGATCGACTATAGTATACTTACGGTGATTTCTTATCTAAATATGCTATAGTTAGAGAGACAGTTAAATTGTATTTAGCTCTTACTTAAATATTTTAGTTAATTACATATTATATTTGAACGATATAATGATTTTTATAAGTTTAACTTGTTGCCTGGATTGGGAAAGGTTATAAACAAGGTGGTGTGTATAAGTGCCATCTTGTTTTGGCAATGTATCTCTGCAGGAAGTCTGCCCAAAATAACTTCATATGTATTATATTTGAACGATATAATGATTTTTATAAGTTTAACTTGTTGTCTGGATTGGGAAAGGTTATAAACAAGGTGGTGTGTATAAGTGCCATCTTGTTTTGGTAATGTATCTCTGCAGGGAGTCTGCCCAAAATAACTTCATAAAGCCCCACTGGCATCAGTTGACATAAATGATAACAGACAAAGAAGTTGAAAGGATAATTAAAAATAAACTGTAAGTGAAAAGACATGAAATTTTGCATATCGTAAAAATGCAACTATTCTAGTAGATCTCTATGAAGAGTAGAAAGGTATGTACGTATTTCCATTTGTTAATATTAAACATTTCATTGCACTGTATGTTGATGATAATAGATAGTGATTTAGTAGAGAAAATAAAATATAAACAGTTACCTTAATTAAAAACACTTTTGATATTCAGTTATGAGGTTTGAGAGATTATGCAAATGAAATGTGAAAACTCTAAAATTAGAAATAGTATTTTTTATATTTCATATAAAAATCACGTTTCTGGTGAATTATTCAGTGTCAGAGTGCAAATAACTAAATGAAATAATTAGCTTTTATTAAAAATAGTAAAAAACTAAAAATTAAATATTTTAGTTTTTCTTAAACTACATACTTTTAGGAACATTTTTGTCAAATTTCAAACAATTTCACTCCCTAGTTCTATTTTTGTGATGATAGTGGCGTTACCTTCTCTATGATAGCAAATCATGGGAGCCAAATGATTAATTTCAGCATTATTAGCTTAGCATATACATTATAAGGCATCTTGTGCCTGTAGGTCTGTGATAAAAAATTCCAACTTCCTGACTTCTGATCACCATGAAACTTTCAGCAGTTTTTTTGGTAGGCCACAAGAGGGATTTTATAACACTTTATTTTATTAATTTTCCCATCTTAAAAGTATGACAGCCCTTTTCAATTTACCATTGCTACTGTCTTATTTTTAATGATTCCCATCTTTAACATAAAGCCAATGAAATACACACCACGCTCGGTGCTGGTACCTTTGCTATTTATTTTAAGGCAGTTGAGTCTGATGAACAGTATCTTTTCAAACATTGCTAAACAAAACTTTTAATTTAGGTGTATGTATTATTTATGTAAAACATCTGTTAGAAACCCTTAAGTATTGTGATTTAATACATCAAGCTAAGAATATGTCAGACATTCAAGTAAGGTTACTTCCCATATTAATAGTCCAAAACATCCAGTAATTTTGAGATCTTTGTCTAAAATTAAATTTTATTTCATTTTAGTTATTAACTTGAAGTTTACAATATATTAGATGTACTTCTACAGGGTCCCTAAAAGTGTTCTGTTTAAAGAATTTAGAATAATATATATTTTTTATTTCTCGCTTTTGAAGTTCATATTTCATTCTACAGAACACATAATTCTTCTCGGCATGCACGTTTTACTGACATCGTGTCAATACAAACTGCAATGTTAAACATCCCTTATGTGACATCATTTTAGTGTCTACTGACTGACTGACAACACATTACTGTATAGTGGTGTGAGCGGTTAAAATAGGTGACCACTCCAGGTGGCCTTCGGCTCCTTTCAGGGAAAAAAAACAGCTCTTTAGCTCTTCCAGTACCATATCAATCACTAAGAGGGTTTTATTTCTTTAATTACATAAACAAAAACCCACTTGGCAGAGAAATAAGTGTTCATTATTTTTTTGTAGCTTTACTTTCTCTCTCTCTTTTTCTAACATAATAACTTTATAGACAAAACTAACAGTATCTGTTTGTTTTGTTTTGTTTTTTTTAATTTCGCGCAAAGCTACACGAGGGCTATCTGCGCTAGCT